AGAGAGACTGGGGAAGGTCTGATGAAAGGCTTGGGAAGGCTCATGTTCTTCTAATCCTTCCAGCCAGCCTCCCTGGGTTCAAATCCCAGCTCCACCACTCACCACCTGTGTGTTCTTAGGCAAGCTTCTTCTGGGCCTCAGTGTCCCTATCAATAAAATGGGACTCACAGCTGGATCAGCCACACATTGTCATCAAGGTCCCATAAAACAGGCTCTGTGCAGTGCAGGGCAGGTAACTGGCCAGTGAGTGGAATCAGCTGGAGACACCAAAGCAAGTGAGGGTGTGGGGTCTGAGGCTGCGGAGGGGGAGGGCAGGGCGGAGTTCCATCATAGGATGACCTCGTGGGGGTTCTAAGCTGTTGCCCTGAGATAACTTTTAATGACACTCCCTTTCGTTCTTAAAAGTGTCCTAACCTGGATGACTAATTATATGGTTATCCTACTCCAAATCCCCCATGTCCAAGCGGGGGCCTGGGAGCTGGTCCCCTGGTGTTGGGAAAGGATCCCGGCTCTTGACCTGTTTTATTTCCCAGTCCCTTGGGACTGCCCAAGCCCGGGGTCCCAGCCCCAGCGCCAGCCCACTCTCACCCAGCCCAGGGAAACTCATTCCCTCAATTAGCATTAGAAAGCAGCAGGGTGGGGAAAGCCTGGGAGAAAGGCGGGGATGCCCGGAAGGTGCTGGGAGTGGGCGTCTGCCAGGATTCCGGGCCTCACCTCCGATCCTGAGGGCAATTTACGCAATCTCAGGTCCTCAACTTCCTCTTTCCTGCAAGGAAATTAGGGCAGTACGGTCTCTGATTTGCAAAGATCACAGCACACAAAGACTGGCGGTGAAAGTGTCCATGAGTGGCGTTAGGAAGGCAGTGACTTCTGCTTCAGCCACCAATGCAGAACGCCCAGGTCCTGTTTCTCCGGTGACTGTGGAGTGGACAGAGATGGAGCATAAAGGGTCACAGAGGGTCCACAGATGACTGGGGGTGGGGTGTCTGCCCAGTGCCTCGACCTACAGAAGTGCTCTAACCCACAGACCCTGGCCCACTTCCACCAGGCCTCGAAGGACACCTCCAACGCCTGTCCAGGGCCCCCAGCTCTGCTCAGAGACGCCTCCTCCAGGGCAGGGGCAGCTGCTGCCCTCAAGCTCCATGTGATCCCTGCCTGGCTTCAAAAGCTACTCAGGGTACATGGTGAGCCCACCGTTTCCTGGGCTGCTTCTCAGAAAAGCTCAGAGAAGACATCTTAGTGGCTACTACGTGCCGCCCATTTTATTTGAGGCAGAATTCTTGTCCTGTGGTCCCCAAACTGCACACCTAGGAACCCCAACGGCTTAATGACAGATGAGAGTTCTGGGGGTGTGGGACCAAATGAGTGGCACTCCAGAGGCTTTGAAGGGCTTCCTCATCTCCCTTCCCCTGTCCTCTCCCTTCCCCTCCTCTCTCCCCTCCCCT